TTTTGGAAACGTATCCTCTGAACCTTTCTGAGGTTATTCATTGAGAAGGCCGGGAACATGCACTACCTAATGTATTCCTGCCGTTGTTTCTCAGGGGTAAACTCGTGAAGCTCTGGAATCAATTTTCTTAGATCTTGGAGTATTTTCTAAGAGGTAATGAAACTTTTCTCTGCTAACCCTGTATTTATTAAGGAACCCTCCCACCTCTCTTTTTTGTGACAATGGGCTGTAGATGCATGGTGGGTCAAGGGGAGGGACTGCCCAGGGACGCCTTATCACTGCATAGACAGCTGGTTTTTCTCCCATTTCCCCACTAGGCTGCAGCACTGCGTGAGTATGGATTCTTGGGTCTCAAGCTGAGCATAGGCGTCAGCCTTATTCTCTACCTGTAGCCCACAGATGCTCAGGGAGGCCGCGTTCTTTGACCTGAAGCCCTAGAACTGGGCTTGGACCAGTGCAGACCAGTGACTACTATCATATAAGCAGTTTGGGGACACTGCTGGGTGATGCGGGTTCCAGGACACAGGCCCACACTCAGCCTTGCTGCTGATTCCTGTGCGATTAACACTGGCCGTTTGCCCCACGGATGTGAACCCGGCACACCACTGAGTCAGCAGAGATTGTTTCAGAACCACGATATGTGGACAAACACGGGTGAGAGTGGCAGGTCAGTGGACAGGAAAAAAGAGTTCTCATTCCTGTCATTCCCAGTTCTGAGACTGGGCTCCAGCCACCCGTGCAGTGAATGAGGAGACACAGAAAAGGAGGAGCCCAGGCCATGGTAGGGACCCCCCACAGTTCTGCATCCTGAGGACCTTCAGCTGGGCCTGGGCTTCCCAAGTCTCTCTTATCATCACCCTAGCAGTCCAGGGTGAGGGGGGACCCTTCATGCAAAGCAGCCTCCTCCCCAGGAGTGTCCAAGCCCCACCTGGGCCCTGACTCTGACCCCGGTCTTGAAAGCGGACCCTGGAAGGAAGGTGGAACTGTGTGGGTCTGTTCTGTGACTCCCCAGGGACCTGTGAGTACTCAGCTGCTAACCCTGCAGAGAAAGGGCAGGGGGCTTCAGCCCAGGGCTAGCATGTGGCTCCCAGATGGGATCCACAGCACAGGCCTCGGGGACAGGCCACAGCACCCCCTGCTGCCCAAGGCTGAGATAGGCCCAAGTAACTCTCCATTGCTGCACACTTTGTCCTCTCCCAGTAGGATGAAGCCGGGCCATGTCCAGGCCAGTAAGCACCTGAGTCTCAGGTCTCCACATAGCCCTTCTCCCCCTGGACCTGCTCAGCTCATGGTGTGTCTTACAGGGCAGTCCTGGGAGCTTGGGCTCCCTGAGGAACCTTCCCTGGGGGCTGCAAAGCAGGAAGCCCGGGGGACAGGGCAGCACCTCCTTCCAAGGTACTGAGAGGTACTCTCTCTTTTCTCTCTTTGGGCTGATCAGAGCCTGCTCCCAGAGGCCCTGCCCCTCCTTCTGAACCCTCACTCCTTCTCAGTCCCTTACTGACAAATTGCACAAAGATAGACCAGATAGATAGATAGACAGAGAGATGGAATATTTGTCAACCTCAGGCATAAATTCTAGGATGAGGAAGACACCAAGTGCAATTAATTAATTGATTGTTTTCTAGCCCCTGCTCTTCCGTAGCAACCCCGGTGCCTCCTGGCCCTGACACTCTCCCATAATCAGGCCCTTTACTGGCTTCAGCCTGTCCCAAGCATGTCTCTGCCAGTCTGACCTCCAGAAAGGGTGTTCTGAAATCCTCAAACCCCTGAGGAACTCTGGCCTCCAGTATCTAAGCTTTCATCTCTAATAGTAAGGGAATGGCTTCGTATTGATCCCATTTTCTCTTTCAAACAACTTTACGGAGAAGGTGTAATCATCATTATCTCCATTTTTTAGGTGGGGTAATAAAGCTCAGAAAGGTTGGGCTGCCCAAGGCCACGTAGACAGTAAATGCCAGGACCCAAGCCCAGATGTTTAGTTTATTTAGAAATAGTG